TAAGTTAAGTATCGGCAAACTATACTATAGATTATAGTTCATCTTACATTGTTAGACACATAATTTATTAACTGAAGACATATAATATAGAGTTAATTTCACCCGAGGTCCCTTGTCTTTGGTGACAGTTTTTAACTTAGTCTTAGACTATCGGTTTTTGTCATTTAACGTCCCTACATATTTTTTGGACACTTTTAGTCATTATCATGACTTTCTCTATTTTTAGTAAGGGCATTTTTGTCTTTTTATATTTTTCTTTTGTTATTTGTCTGGTTTAATTGGTTTAGGACTTTACTAAAAACCAGCTGAAAAATATTATTACTAAAAATCAAAGGTTACTTGGCCTAAAATTATGAAGAGACAAAAATGCCCTTACTAAAAATAGAAAAAGTGATGAGAATGATTAAAAGTGTCTAAAAATAATAGTCTAGAGATTTTAAATGGCAAAAATGATAATTGAGACTAAATTTGAAATTGCCACCAATGACAATGGACCTTGGCAGGAATTAACTCTATAATATACTCTGTATTATTAATTGCGAACACATAATTTTTGAACGAAGCTAAGATTCAAAATGCAAAATGAACCCTAGTACATAGTATAAGAGGTGGTTAATTATATTATACGCAAATTAAACATGCATACACAAATTAAGACTAGTAGATGGACGTACTGACCAAAATATCAAGTCTTCCAAAATTGGTTTTGACGAAATGAAAAAGGGAAAAGACAGTTTCGGGATCGGTAACATCGAGGTGGTGAAAGAGCACATCACCATTGGAGAAGCCAAAAGTAGCTCTCAGTTTCTCCACAGCTTCACTTCCCTTCTGCTTGTTTCTGGCAGTTAAAACCACCGTAACTCCATCACAACCTAACTGCCTGCAAATTTCAAACCCTATCCCTTTGTTTCCTCCTGTCACAACTGCATACCTGCATCCATGCAATGCCCCCACGTATATATATACATATATTCATCTATCACCTTAAATAAACTATATATATATATATATATATATATATATATATATATATATATATATATATATATATATATATATATATAGACTAGTGATCAAATGAGTTCATCCTGTTATATGAATTTGTGTGAACAGATTTGAATCATATTCGAGTGCACAGTTGCACAGTTGCGAAATAACAGGCCGGTCAAATCTAAGCCATTGATCTCAAGTATTCAATGGTCCAAATCTCTTCGAACTCATATAATAGGGTGGACTCACGAGAACACTGGCCTATATATATATATATATATATATATATATATATATAGACTAGTGATCAAATGAGTTCATCCTGTTATATGAATTTGTGTGAACAGATTTGAATCATATTCGCGAACTGTGCAAATGAAGTGCACAGTTGCACAGTTACGAAATAGCAGGCCGATCAAATCTAAGCCATTGATCTCAAGTATTCAATGGTCCAAATCTGTTCGAACTCATATAATAGGGTGGACTCTCGGGAACACTGGCATATATATATATATATATATATATATATATATATATATATATATGTGTGTGTGTGTGTGTGGGGTTGAGTTCTGGTGCGGATAAGCTCTCATGAGAATGTGTCGACACACTGTTAAGCTAGTATCCAGTGACAATTAGGTGGTGCCAGGTATGCATCACCAAACATTCCTAAAATACATCGTAAAGCATTTTCAAATGCACTAAGATTGAAAATGAATGAGAATTAAGTAGTGCATAATGTATTTCAAAATGCTTTACTAATACTAGCTTGATAGTGCATCCACACGCTCGCACGGGGCAAGTTGTATGCACTTGATCCCACTCATTAGGTATGTAAAAATGCACCACAATAAAATACATTAGTGTAGCACAAAATGCACCACACCGCACTATACTTAATGGTGCATTTTGCCATTTTCAAATACTTTGTGGTACATTTATGCATATTTAATGGTAAATGACTGTACCACTACACAAAAAAACATTTTTCGCACGAGAACTTGACCCTATATATATATAATAAACTACTGTGCATCATCTTAATTTGCCTGCCTTTTTGATGCGTCAGTAGCGTTGTTTGCCCCTGCCATTGAAGAGAATGCAGAATGCCTCACTCAGCGTAAACTACTACTACTACTATATATATAGGCGATTCTTCTGTAAATAAATGCAGCATATTATAGAAGGTATATACTAAGATAATTACAACGTACAAATTGGGTAGGAAAATTTAGTGCACTGAATATATTTTTAAGATCTAATGTACGTACTAACAAACAAGCCGTACTTCATTTGGGCTGGATGGTTTATAAGTTAAGATTTAATGTGATGCAGGTAAGTTTGATTATATACGTGGTTGGAATAATTAATTAATATATTCTTGGCGGTTGTGCCGAAGATTAATTGAGACTTGAGAGTATTGTGCATGAATGAGTTATTAGTGTATTACATTTGTTTCACGACACCGTACTATTGAATTATATTACTTAACGATGGCTTATATTACAAAACTAATTACAAATTACAAACACGCATAACACGTAATAATAAAAAATGTTATGTTATTTATCTGATCAAATTAGCCTGAAAGCTAAGCAACTTGCTAAAAATGCTATATATCTGCATAAATATATAGAGTTAAATGGTTTAATTGTACATACACTTTTTTATTTGATGACCTAATTATACAAACATGAATATATAGTTCAATGGCCCATTTGAGATTTTTTCTTATAATTAATTATTGGATCTTACTAGTTAAAATGATATGATGGGCAATCACCTTGTCGCCACTCTCATTTTTTAGAATGACTGTCACATCAGTGATGACCTAATGAGTAATGAGTATTATGTTAAATTTGGTTCAATTGCATAATTTTAGACAGTTTATGGATCAAATTGTAATATTTTTTTAATTGGATGACCTAATTATAATTTTGTGTGTAGTTCGGTGGCTAATTTATTTATTTTTCCATAATTATTCGATCTTGTTAAAATGATGTGTAATCACCTTGTCGCCACTCTCATAGTTTAGGATTAAATAGTCATAATTACAAACACATAACACGATAACTACAAACACATAAACTGTCAATTGTAAGTATAGAATATGTTAATTGCATACGCATAACATGTTAACCAATATCTTATATTTCTGCAGTTAACATATTTTGTATTTGCAGTTAACAATTTATGTATAAATAGTTATCATGTTATGTATCTGTAATTGTCATGTTATGTGCCTTCAATTTGTTTACAATTATAGAAATTGTTAGCTGCAGGTATAAAATGTGTTAAATGCACACACATAATTTTTGGACTAGGATTCACAATGCAATATGAGCCATAGTCCATGGTATAACAATGGTCTAATTATAGAAGGTACCTTTAAGTCGTACCATACTCAAATTAATCCATTTTTGCATCGGGTCGGACCAATTAATGTGTAATTAAAGTGCTTGCCATATTGATTTTTACATACAAAATGGGATTTTGAACTCTCGACCTCTCTTAAAGGACGAGAGTGCATGCGCAGTCATTCACACCAATCAAGCTGACAAAATTAATTATAAACATGCATAATACGTGATAAAAATGTCAATAAAAAATTTATCATTCTTCCAAAAGGCTGAACCCTAACCCTGAGATAAAAATTTATCATTATTGACTTTTATGTAATTTTAAGAGAAAATTTAAACTCATATTATGTCGTCCTCTCTCTCTCTATATATATATATATATATATATATATATATATATATATATATATATATATATATATATAAACATAATAAGTGTCAATACAAGTTATGTCCTTGATTTTTGTCCCTTTTTTTATATGCTAATAAATATATACATCTTGCTTTAATTGTTGTACATTTGATTTGTATTGGACAAAATTACCCTTACACCGTTATAACACCGTTAGTATTTAATATGTCTACCAATCTTACCATACACCTACATCTATCATATCTTTTTCCTATTTTTAGTTATCATTTTATTAAAATTATCATATAACAATTAATTTAATTATAAATTATATTTTAATTAAATATTTATATGAATATTAAATTTTAATTATAAATAATATGTATATATATTATTTGTGTATACATATCAATATATCATATATGTGGGTGTTAGCTTAGTATTATTTGTAAATTATTATAATATATATATATATATATATATATACTAGCATTTTGTACGCGCGATGCGCGAAAACTTATGCCCAATAATATATATAAGTTTTCGCGCATCGCGCGTACAAAATGCTAGTATATATATATATATATATACACACACACACACACACTAGTATTTCACCCGTGCGATGCACAGACCAAATATTTAAAATATTAAAATCATGTTATGTTATTAAAAATATTAATGTTATTAAATTTCATATATAAAAAAAAATATGAGATTTATTCTTTCATAAATTGTTGTAATTAAATTAAAAATTGATATTTAAGCTAGGTAATTATTAAAAAGTGTTAATGTCATATGTGGCCATTCGGGGTTATTTGTGATCATCCGAGTATAATAATTTTGCCACGTTTAGTTCTAAACTTTCAAATTGATAACCCGTGATCTTTCGACTTTCAAATTGTATTGTTATGTGATGCACGACATAAAATTTAAATAATGTTATTGTTGATGAGACTAAAAATACATAAAAATAATTTAAAATAATAAAATCAAGCAATTATTCTCAAAATTTAATGCAAAAAAATATTTCTTTCAAATAATTTAAATGTACTTACAATATAAATATATTTATGGAAATTGCACATACAAAAATATTAATATTTAGAGTAAAAGACATTTTTGGTCCTATAGTTATAGTGGCACGAACAATTTTGATCCTCCATAAAAAAATTTGCCATTTGATAGACAGACTTATTGTGACGAAGACATTTTTGATCCTCCATCCAAAATTCTGTTGAATGACTGTGTAAGTGAGGGGTAATTGCGTCATTTCAGCTATGCGTCATCGGGTTCCTTTAACCATCTCGCGCGTTTTCCAAGGTTGTTTGTCGCGTCACATCGTACACGAGCAATGCACCGACAGCTCCCCGGTAATACGCACTGGTGATTGCACGGTATCTGCAGCACATATAAGCAAAATCACCAATAGATCTCCCATCTCAACCGAATTAAAAATTTCCAGCCAGATGAGTTAAAACATTGAGAAGATTGATCTGGCCGGAAAATGAAGAACGCACCGTTCTTGTCCGGCGGTGTCCCAAATCTGGGCCTTGACGACCTTGTCTGCTACGTGGATGGTTCGAGTGGCGAACTCGACACCGATGGTGGACTTGGATTCCAGGCTGAATTCGTCGCGGGTGAACCTGGATAGAAGGTTGGATTTTTCGACGCCGGAGTCGCGGATCAGCACCACCTTGAACAAGTAGTCGTAATCGTCTTCCGCTCTGTAAGCCCCCATTCTTCTTTGCTCCTCTTCTTCTTCTACAGTTTTCAATTCTCTCTTCAACTCTCACTCTCCCTGTATTTATGTGTGTGTGGGTAATTGCGTTCCTATGAGGTGTGTCATAAATTCTGTTTAGACGTTCTCCTCCGTCCAGAATTCGTAAGACACGTAACTATTGATTGCTCCTTGAGCTCGAAGAAACTGAAGGTTGGGACGGAGGCTTGCACCGATGGTGTTCTTCAAACTGCTTGCCCGGAGGAGAACGTCAATGCCTAGGTTTTTGTCCAGGTACCATCGTTAATTACTGATATTGTTAATTGGTGCAGGGTCTTCTGATGGTACGCCGGAGGGTGTGGGTTGTTCCTGATGGCCTGCAAAAGTTTATCAACTTGGCTATGAGTTGCGTACGAGAATCTACAGCAGAGAGACCTTCAATGGGGGAAGTGGTAAGGGAGATAGGCTGAAATGACACAATTACCCCTCACTTACACGGTCATTTAACAGAATTACGGATGGAGGACTAAAAATGTCTGCGTCACAATAAGTCTGTCCATAAAATGGCAAATTTTATTATGAAGGATCAAAATTGTTCGTGCCACTATAAATCTAGGACCAAAAATGTCTTTTACTCTAATATTTATAATCAAAATAGATTACAACATACTGAAATTTTTAGTCCATGTGAACTACTAACTCATGTCTTGGCAAGGGCTGCCCGTTCTCAAACTGATTATTCTATTTGACTTTATTCAATTCCCTCTTGTATTGAACATTTAATTTAATGATGTTCTCGATTTGGTTTTCCAAAAAAAAAAAACAAAAACAAAAACTAACCATAGTTAAATATTGATTTCTTAAAAGAAAAAAGTCAAGCGTCAAAGTTTGTAAATTATTATAAATAAAAAACTTTAAAAAATTAGATGAAATAATTACATAAATTCTAAATTATATAAATATAAATAAAAAATAAAAATAATAATTGCATATTAGTGTAAATTTATGTAGTCAAATCCATCTCATTTATTAAACATAATAATCAACTATATTATTCAGCACATTTATTTAACTCTCAAAATCAAAGTCATGATTCATATTGTTAAAATTCAGCAAAAAAAAAAAAAAAAAAAAAAAAACCAAATACCTAACCCTAGACAGAACTCATTATATATATAAAAATATAAAATCTGTGAATCCCTAACCCTAATCACAACATACTATCGGTATATATTATAAAAATTGTCTTATTCAATACCATACAGAATTTGTAAAATATAAATTCAAATAATATATATGTACTTACAATATAAAAATATTTATGAAAATTGCACATACAAAATATTAATATTTATAATCTAAATAGATTCCAGCATCCTGAAATTTCAATTTAAATTTGAAATAACAACTTTAATTATATAGCTAACATATTGAAATAAAATTTTAATTAAAAGTAAGACTATGAAATTAATAATTTTATTATAAATAAGAATAAAAATTACAAATGATTGAAAATTTCATAATAAAAATTCAAATTCCTTTTTTTTTTTTTCTGCTTTTGGTTACTTAGTTAATTATGTAAAAAGAAGTTGCTTCTTCCATAAACGGGGTGAACTTTAGATTTGTTAGGTGACCTGCGAATCGTGCAGTTCACGTGTTAGCTCGGGAGGCCGTTTCTATATCTTCCTGCAGGGAATGGTTTGAAACACCTCTTCATTTTCTTATTGCCGCACTTGCTTATGATTCAATGAACTAAGCTACTTTCTTCAAAAATCAATATTTTTAATCCTTTGTTGTTAACCTAAAAAACATTAATCATAGTGTATAATAATATGAACAATAATAATATTGCTAATATAACAATAATAGCATATTAATAAAAAAAATTGCACTTTTCGTTCATAAGTTATATGTGCGTTGTAGAATTCATTGCTAAGTGTTGGACATGCTCACTTTTCATCTATAAGTTTTCATTGGTGTTGTCCTTTTCTGACATTGTTAATAATAATAATGCTCACTTAGAGACGAAAAGTGCAAATTTCTCTATTAATACTAATAATTTTAATAATACCTGTCTACCACAATTTTCCCTAATAATAATAATAACAACAACAACAACAACAACAACAACAACAACAACAACAACAACAACAACAACAACAACAACAACAACAACAACAACAACAACAACAACAACAACAACAACAACAACAACAACAACAACAACAACAACAACAACAACAAACAACAACAACAACAACAACAAACAACAACAACAACAACAACAACAACAACAACAACAACAACAACAACAAACAACAACAACAACAACAACAACAACAACAACAACAACAACAACAACAACAACAACAACAACAACAACAACAACAACAACAACAACAACAACAACAACAACAACAACAACAACAACAACAACAACAACAACAACAACAACAAACAACAACAACAACAACAACAACAACAACAACAACAACAACAACAACAACAACAACAACAACAACAACAACAACAACAAACAACAACAACAACAACAACAACAACAACAACAACAACAACAACAAACAACAACAACAACAACAACAACAACAACAACAACAACAACAACAACAACAACAACAACAACAACAACAACAACAACAACAACACAACAACAACAACAACAACAACAACAACAACAACAACAACAACAACAACAACAACAACAACAACAACAACAACAACAACAACAACAACAACAACCACAACAACAACAACAACAACAACAACAACAACAACAACAACAACAACAACCCAAAAAAGCCCAACCCGTCTGAATATCCATTTCCATCCCCATTTTCTAATGCTCTCTTCCTCTCTGCGATTTCCAGAAGTTCTCATCACCATCTACCATATGAGAAATCAACATCAACAGAGACAACCGTAACAACGTATGAAGACACTGGAGCAGGTTCAAACCCACTGTGAAATTGCGATTTTATACTACAATTTCACAGTTCTTTCAGTTCTTTCCTTCAATTTCGAGATTGATTTGTCGGTTAAAGGTAAAATTCATACAATCTATTCACAGTTAGGGTTCTAAATAGATCTTTAGAAATAGTTAATTCAAAAGCACATGCAAAACTAAGCAATCAATAGTTATACTACAGTTCTGTATTTTGGTTACTATTACAATCAATTACAGTATAGATCTTCGGAAATAGTTAATCAAAAGCACATGCAGAATATTTTTGTCTATGAATTTCATATTGAGGTTAGTATATTCAGTATTGGTTAGTATATTTGATGAATTTGCCGTTTTAAAGAATGATGGCCTACAAAATTTGTTCAATTTCTAGGTTGAATTGTTCATAGAAGTTAACTTTCACACTATCGTTGTTAAAATCCATAGTTTCCTTTTAGAATTGTACCCTAATTTTCAGCTCTATAGAACCCTAGAAGCTATGCTAAAACACTGTTTATAATCCGATTACATAATGCATATAAGTATGTATTTTCTGACTTCTCTGTAGACTGGTGTGGTAGATTGTTTTCACTGTAAATTCACACTTTGCCCACCAATTTTTACGACATAGAAATTGTTTATCCTTTATTCGATTCACAGTTCATCAGATAGTAGTAGACATATGAGCATACTTTTACATATCTATTTTCTATGTGCATTTTTTAAAGAGTTTTGCAATTGTTTTCATCAGATAGTAGTAGACATATGAGCATACTTTTACATATCTATTTTCTATGTGCATTTTTTTTAAGAGTTTTGCAATTGTTTTGATAATACAGTTGCATAATCTGGATTTAATAGTTTGTATTAATGTGAATTTAAGCTCTTTTTTTAATGAAGTCTAGCAGGGTGAGGAACATTTATATAACATGCCTAGAAAGTGTATATTTTGCAATGCTAATTTTGCATTTTTTTATTCTAATTTCTTAAAAGAAAAGACATTGCACTTAACATCTGTTTTCTGTTTTCTCAGCACTGTCTGCTGAGAAGCCACACACAACATACATGATGAAGTTTTAAAAGCTTGTAGGCTGAATGTCAGGTAAATCTCTCCATCTCATGAATGTGCCAAATTTGCTTCTATATGCTAAATTGATATGTGTTTAACTAAAAACAAATTTTTTTACAAAGTTATAATCTAATTTTTTTACAAACTACCCTACATTTGTAGATATAACTGCATATATAGGCTCATCTTGATCTTCCATCTTCAATTTGGCATGTATGATGATCATCTATAAAACCTGCATTAAAAAACATAAAACAAACATAAGAATATAGAATAAGAGAAATCTAAGTTAGAAGATATTAATGGCAGACATCAATGCATTCAATTTCACTCTAAGGCATGGACTTAGAGTTCAAGGGTTTGAGTAATATTGTCCATAGTCCTAGAAGACCATATTTCTGCAAGTGTGTCCCAAAAACAGATAATAAACATTGTCCCAAAAAACATAAGATAATATCTAGACCATTAGTGCACCACATTACAAACCCAATCTCTTCAATTTTTCTCCACCTTTATGAGGATAGCCTTTGATCTTTTGAAATCCCTGGTAGATGAGAACTGGTCCAAGAGATTTCTTTTGGTTGAGCCAGGACTACTGGCCTAAGAACAAATGTTCCCTAAGAACAAAAATCTTTCTATAAGATCAGATTGTATTTGAAGTAGAATATGAAAAACTATAGAATATGAAAAAGAAAATTATGAAGTGTGGTTTTCCCCCTAACTATAGATTAGATTGTATTAAAACTAAGGCTTACCTCATGATCATGGAATAGCATCTCCCGACTTTTTATGACATTGTTGTTTCTACCTTCGTTCGTGTACAATGTAGCTTCTCACTAATTAATCTCTAATCTCAGTCTTATGGCTTTCTTTGCAAGGATATAATCAGGGTGTATATCTTTTGCAAGGATATACAAAGGGGCCATTATTTCAGAGAGATTGGAATTTGTTCTGTTTGAAGAAGAAGAATGAGACATGGGATGATGTCTGGACTGTAGTATAAATAGAAGGATTAGGCTGAAACATTAATTACTCGAAATGATTATATTGCACCGGTTATTCTTCCG